CTTATATATATGCATTTTTTTATTAATCTAAGATAAATTGGCATTGCATTATTCTTTCATCTTAAAAAAACATAGATGGACTTTTATTTGTATGTTGTCTTTATAAAATAGAATGTATATTGCATAGAATAAGCATAATGCATAAATGATGAAATTTATTTTCACATATTGAATAAATCTGTCCCATAAATGACTTCACTTGAATAAGGATATTCAGATAATCATAATTGTTTATTTTCTTTTTCTCTCTACAAAAAATGGTTTCTATAAAGTTACAAAGTGTTAGAAAATTTAATTTTCAACTCATTGAAATATTATAAGTATATCATTAGACTTCAAAGTGGTTTTCTACAATATAGTCTTCCAAATGATTAACAAATAAGAAAGCATTAATAATAATGATAATAAATTTTATAACTCTTTCAACAAGTTTAGTAAACCTTGTGATACAGTAGTTTTGTTGATAGTGCACTAACTTTTAAAGTAATGAACAATGGGGGATGTTATTGCAAAAGTTGAATATGGGCTTTCTTCAACATATTTACAAACTCAACGAATTTAAGATAGTTCTCAAAACCAGGTTCCAAGCCTTGAAAGATCTCAAATAACAAAAAAACTACCATAGACAACAAATGAAAAGAAATCAAAGAAGTACTGACTTCAACGTGCCAGGAGGTTCTGGACCTCAACAAGCATCATAATAAAGAATGGATCTCTATCGAAATCCTGGACACGTTTCAAGAAAGGAAGAAGAAGACAGCAATAATGAACAGTCGAACACTATCAGAAAAGGCCAAGGCACAGACCGAATACACAGAAAAAACAAGAGGGTGAAGAAGAACTGTAGATTCGACAAGTAGAAACACGTGTAAGACTTAGCAATGGTGGCGGAAAAAGATGCAAGTGAAGGAAATGTGAGACAAATACATGGTACAACGAATAAACTGGTGGGGAAATATAATAAACTAAAGCGATTAGTCACGAACATAGAAGGCGAACCAATGACTGGGATTCATGAACAGAGGGACAAGTGTGAAGAATACTTTGAATATCACTCCACCAACGATCGAACAAATCAGGATGGCCATTAGACAATCCAAGAGTGGGGAAGCATCAATACTAGATAACACACCAGTTGAAGCACTGAAGTCAGAAATAGAAGCACAAATTACAATGAACAGTTTAGATGCAGGTATTTGTGAACATATGTCTACATAAGATATTCGATATCCGTCGACCGGATGTCATTAACAACAAGCTATGGCTGCAGAGAACAAACCAGCTTCCATCCGAAGAAGAAATTGAAAAAAGATGTTGGAGGTGGATAAGATGAATATTGCGGAGCTCATCAAGCTGTATCTCGAGGTAAGTTCTAACTTGGAATCCTGAAAGGAAACGGAGAAGAGGAAGAGTAAGGAACAAATGCGTGGGGAATCGGAGACGGACGTCAAAAGAATGAATTGGACCTGAAAAAAACACTGGAAAGTATTGTTCTAGACAGTTGGATAGAGGATGCTGGTGAGCGGCCCATACTCCCTCACGTGGGGTAACAGGCGTAAGTGTATAGGGACTACAAATTTCATAGTAAATATTAATAATGAGATGCTGGTACATCTGGTTGACGAGTTCGAAATAGAATAGGACACATTTTTGTTGATGCTACTAATCACTAACTTAATTAAATGGGATTTGTTAAGATTTCTCATGGAAAAACATGGAAGATGTTGTGAGCTGTGTTACGATCAGAGCAGTTACGCACTAAGAACATTGTGCTATGTTGTGAATCTTTGAAATTTAAAATGTAAACTTCAGAATGATGACATAGTATCTGAGTAGCACTACCATGCTTATTATACTTATGTTTATGCATCATAATACCTATGTGGGACTCTAAAACCGAGAATCAGGGATGACCTGATGAACTGTTTATGGATAATTTAACTCATAGATTGACTACTTTTTTTCCTTCATCTTAGTTTATTAATTAATTTACCAGGTACTGATTTGTGTACTTGTCTTCGAGCCACACTTCTGGTGTGCGAGCTAGAGATTTTATCCGGTTGACCAAACTGGATTAGATGGAGTGAGATCCATACCTACAACTTAGTGGTAGGACACTGGATATCTTAACCATCAAACCACTGCTCTTATATCAACAAATAATTGGGAGTAGCACACACGTATAATTGATGTACGATGGCCTTGAAAATAGATGAAGAGATAATATACCAAAAGAGCTACGATTCAGTAAGAAAATAACTGCTTTAATCGTGGTAAAAAAGAAAGATGGATGATCCAAAACAATACAAGTTCAAATTTAAAAAATGTAAATGAAGCCATTCGTGAGTGGTTTCGTCCTGAATATTTAACACACCTCAACAGTTTCCCCAATAATTCGAGAAAACAACACAGTTTATTTCTTACGACGAATGAATTACTAGTATTCAAGTTGAAACAATTACCTCTATCACTCACTTAGATAAAACGTGGTTGAAACGAAAACATAACTTTAAATAACTATGATTACGTAGTGTATTTCTTCAACATAGAATGATTCAATTTATCATGTGGTTCATCATTGATTAGTTTTTTTTTCTCGACTGATTGTAGATCATTTGTTGGCACTGTCAATTTCCAAAGAGATATATTTATAGACGACATTAAAGTCAATTTATTTTCTCTCTAAAAAGAGCAATTATTAGATAAGTTAATTAAAAGAATAGATCGTATCAAATAAAAGGATTCTACATGTGTATAGAGAAGATCTCAACAAAAATCAAGTTTTCAAACCTGATTGATATTGATAAAAGTAAACGAAATATGATCATCACAAACAATACTTAAGAAGTGTTTTCACAATATTCTCTTGATTAACTATGATACAAGTTGGCAACAAACTGCAAATTTCATACACATAGTTCCCTTTATTATCTTAGAGCAAGAACAAAGATTGGTGCAGAATAATAAATGGATTAATTTTATTTCGTTAGGTTTTCATCAGCTGCTTACAACCCAAAATATTTGAAAATCAACGTTATTACAGATGTTGACATACTTATACATAAGTCAAAGGTTGATTAAAGATGTATCATGATGTAGCAAACATTTCAATAGAGTTAATAAGGTCAGCAGTGGCATAGCAAGATATCTGGTTGACACAGGATATGAAGTCGATACACTGCAGTCCTTCAAAGTGATTAACAAACAATAAAACTCCAACCTTTTGAAATTTGCCGAAGCCATAGCAATCAAACGTCTTAAACCAGATCTATGTATAGAAAAAGAGAAAGTAATAAGTTTTTCTTTACTCTGGTAACATTAAACCCCCTTACGTCATCCATTATTTCAACTCTTTCTGAAGTTTAATTGCATCATTGTCATTTTTCTTTAATTCAATTCAGTTTCTTAATTACACAATCATTTGATGTTTGTTAACTCCATGAGTTCTATACACTGTTTCAATGTTCTAGAACTTTCCCTCCCAAACTTTGTTTATCCGAAACAAATCCCTATGACCTTATTAACTGTTGATACAAATAATCATCTCTAACCACCTTCGTAATTATAAGTTTGTCAATATCTGTAATAACGTTGATTTTCAAATATTTTAGGTTGTAAACAACTGATGAGAACCTACCGAAATAAAATGAATCCATTTATTATTCTGCACCAATCTTTGTTCTTGCTCTCTTTAAAAGTGCAGATTATATTTTTTTCGTTCATTCATTGATAACAACATTGACTGTCTGTATGACGGTATTTAAAAATTGTACATCAACCAATTTTAAATCGTGATACTCGATGAATTGAACTATTTCAATATAGTTTGATGAAGCCTCGTTTATGGTGCATACTTGGTACCTATTCGAATAAAAATTTACATTCAATAATTCTGTTCTAGATAAGTTGGTTTAATAAACTTGATATGTAGTCTATTTAATTTGTATAATTAGGGGTGGCCAAACCAAAACGTAGCATCAGTGCTTGAAGTCACTAACTTCTGGTCTGAGCTATGCTGGTAGATGCACACTACTCGTTTGGGGTCCGCGTGATTATCGTAACCAATGGTTGGGGACTCTGTGTGACATGGCTCAGAATCGATCACAATGGCATAGGTGTATACAGTCTTTGTCTTCCCTCAAACTATGAGATTAAAATTGCTTCATATCTTTCTTTCTACGAACTAATTCTTTCTTCCTGTATTATTATATCCTTATATGCAATCTTTCTTTTATATATTACCACCACTGAATTAACTACTATGAATTCGGTGTTCATTTTGTTGTGCTAATGAGGTGTGGCAACTTGGATCATTGTACATATGTGCGTAGTCCTACGTTGTAGCTGACTGACTGATTGTAATTTGTATAAATACAACATACTAAGAAAATCTCATCCAAATTCAATAGCTCTATACTATTAGCTTATTACTGTGAATACTTGATTTTCAACCGATTTGCCACTAGTTCGTACTCATTACACAAAAAAGAAATATGTAACTTAAAATCGAATACTTGATTTTTTTGTGAAAAGTATGGATAATATTGTCAGTAAAATTGATATATGAAATATTGAATTAACTCTTAGATGGTGGCCCAACTGTGATAATTTTGTACACACAAAGCCGTTTGTTTATTTCGTGATTTGTCATGTTGAGTGACATGTTTCATGGTGATTCTCTTGATCATTCTCATGATTTTCTAATTCCACTGATCCGTATTTCCTTAAATCATATCTTTTATACCTAGTTTTCTTCTACTACCACTGATATTAGTAATTATACTACACTGGAATTCCTCTGTTTCGATGTAGTGTAGTAACCTGAACGAAAGAATATATTTACTAGATTCTACATTGTGTACAGCTGACTATAGAATCAAATTCTTCACATTAAAATATAAGTCAATTATATATAATACAATATTATGTGTTTTTTCTCGCTGGCTAATCACAGCTTCGATTGACTGGATACAGCGCTTTTTCGGAAATCTTTTGAGTAGGTTTCTTATCTAATTGTCGATGGAATGCATCATGAGCATCCTGATCTTGTACGTGATGCATACTGGAATACTACAGACATTGTACTACCAGACTGGACAAAAATTGCAACTGATGGCGGTGCTGCAGAAGCCAATTTGGACGCATCAGAAGGAGCTGATAAATTTATTGGCTCGTTAGCAAATATTGATGTTACCGAACGTAGACCAAGTGTATTATTTTGGAATAGTTCAAATCTGCACCGACGAAGGACATCTTCAACGAGTGCAAAGTAAGTTTGTTTCTAAATAGTTTTTAATACAGCTATATGAATAATTGTGTGTAAAGTCCAACTATCAAATTGTGAGGTTATTACTGCTGGACAGATCAATGAAAATATGAAAGTTCTTATCTCGTGAATTAGTCTATGTATTTTTTTGTTTGTTTAGTAAGCATTGGGCTTATAGTGTTTTTAGATCCTCCAGTTGTAAATTTTCGTTTTATTCGTTAACTATTACCAAATCTTTGGCAGGTAGTACATTATTGTTAATTAATTGTAAACATAATACGCAGATTTATACCATAAATGTAAATTGATTTTTCACCGAACAGTGACCAATATTGTGTTTGTCCAGTTTTTTATTACTGACCGAATTTCATCAATCAATTTGCAATGGGGACGATAATCTACGTGACTGAACATCATGTGCATTATGTTTTGATGTTAGATGATCAGAAGTAGTTGACAACAACACCCTGGAACTAGGTTCCACGCTAGTTGGTACTCGTCAATAAGACGAACCTTCAAGCTTGTTCAAGGAGGTTAGTCGCTGCCCGAATAGCTCGCTGTTAGTGTGTCGGGCTATCAAGCCGGATTGCACAAGTTTGAATCCTATATGAATAATCAGTTCTCTGAAGTTTTGAGGTACCATTTTCTGACGACTGCCGACTAACAAGAAACCTAGGTCCAAGGTATCCTGTCTACTATCTCCGTTCACTTATTACCAAAAATGTCTTTGGTACGTACACATCGCAGTTAATTATTTATAGTACATCATCGTCATGTATTTTATACAAACGAGTTCTACACAGTACTGAGATGGCTGTTCTAGTGTTCTGATTGATAATTTTGAGGCAAGTGAAGATTTCGAGTAGGGAATCGAACATTACCCTGGAAGTTGACTGGTTTTATAAATTTCTCATTCTTAGCGTAGGCAAGATCACAGCAGAAATCATTATAGTAACTATAATAATCAAAAGCATCGTTTTAGTCCATGGTGTATAAGTATCTGATAATTGAATCACAATTACAAATAAACACTCATTTATGGCATTTATCGTACATCATATTGTTCAATGCATTCAGTAGGTGAAATTGATTGACATTAGATTTGCGTTTCATCTCTAGTTTAGGTTATTTGTGAGTCACTTTAGTTCCACTTTTCAGTTCATGGTTGTTTTTTTTTCTAAAAAAATTAACTTGGAAAATACCATCTTGTTGACTACTTAACAAATGGATTCATGAATTACATAGACATAGACTCTGTAAATGTACTTCAATGTATTGTTGAAGTCGGACGATAAAGTTTAGAAATTCAGTGTGAAATAGTCCGTCAGTCAGTCATACGCAACGTATAACCTGGGATATATTTACATCGACGCAAATTGGGATATTTCAAAAGCACAGTGGAATGAGAATGTCAGTACAAATTCCAGAAATGGTAGAATTAGTAAGTGTTAGTAATAGAAAAAAATAGTAATCTAACATGCGATTAGAGAGAATATAAATTAGTGGAATGATAAACAAACAAAGAATTTAAAAATTTAAGATCTATGAAAAAGACAAATAATGAATAATTTTGAGCCATTTCATCCAAAATCTCTAACTCTTGGTTACGATAATTACATGGACCTCATTTAAGTAGTTTGCTTAACAAAACAATGTTAATGGGGGAAATAGAAAGTTTCTAAGTCAGTCTCTTATAATAAAAGCTGAACACTTATAATTAAGTACTTTTTTTCTCATAAATTTCACTACTAGTAGCCAGTGTTATTGGAGCCCCCAAATGCCCTGGTATGGCCGAGAGTGGGGTGGGACCGCCCTCCCCCTCGAAATGCTCTCACACGGTCATGCGTATACAGCCTCTGTCAGGGAAGTCCTACTCACTGCATTTTCGTGGCGGGGGTGTTGTTTACGAAAATGAGAGGACGAAAAGCAAATGTCCGGTGCTTTAACCGGATTCCAAACCAATGTTGCACATGGGCTCCAGTATCCTGAGGGAACAAATGGCGTATGAACCAATTTTTGGTCACCGGCTACCATAGGATTGCATCTCCTCACGATGCTCCACTGCATTGTGGATTAGACCTTTAGGTCAAAGGTTCGGGGTGTGGCCCCCTAAGAAAACCACCTGCTTTGTTCTGGGCACCCGGGTAGTATCAGACCCCTCACACAAATCGGATGATTTATGTGGCGCATATCTGTTTGGTGCCTCCTTGTACCAATGTTTATGTGTTTAAATAAATAAATAAATAAATAAAAATGTTATTGGAAATTTAAGTAGATTTAAACTGTTTTCATTGGTATATAAGGATTTTAAACCAGGAGTTCTATGTCCTTTAATCTGTATGAAATTGAACAATAAAACCTTTAAAATTTCAATTTATTTAACCTATACTCACATATATAATACATGTAAGAACCCTGTACAATTGGTTATTATAAAGCAGCTGTATATAGTAAAAATATAGGTAAAAGTATACCATACTAACGGCCTTGAGTGAGCTAATCAAATGTAAGATAGCACCTCATAAATTTTTGCGCGAAATGGAAAGTGCAATAAAATATAGCTTATATGTTTATTATGAACTACGTGAAACTTGATATTTTTTGATTTTTCATATGCTTGAAACTAAGCAAAAAGAATCTAGTATTCAATCAAACATCGGATATGACATGGTGTTAGATCTATCGAAGCGTCCAGGTCACCTAATTGAGATATGCACAAAATTGAAGTTCTCAAAACAACGATTTGTCTAGAATAGCGGTTCTTTATTGAATAATACACAAAAATTAGTTACAAACCTCAACTTGTGAGGTATCTATGGCGTTTAACGCGTTCTTTTGTATGGAAAAAATGACTTTATGTAACGGTAACATAAAGAATAGTTACAATATAGGACAGTACAAAAGACAGATGATAGCTGTGTCTAAACTTGGTAACAGTTTATCAGCAATCGAAACCCGGACCAAAAGCAAAACAATATGGAAACTTTTGTGTTTAAACAAATACACAAAACTGTAGATAACTGTTACAGTGATTATAATGATAGATACAAGAAACGTATATGTAAATATTTCAGAATATTACACGACGAACTGACGTTACAACATAAGTCTAAAAATTATTGGGTGTACAACTACTTAATGTAAATATGTAGTATGAGACACTACACAAAAGAGTGGAAGAGTAGCGAGTAAGAACAATGTGAAACAAACTTGACACGTGGTGTGTGTGCTAAATTACGAGAAATGTCTGGTCCTGATGTTTACTCTTTGTTCGATTATTCAGTATGGTTTAACGTATTATTACAGTTATTTGTGTAGTTAGATAATACTCTCCTATTCTAACTGCTCACTTATAATCTCACCTTTAACTTTCTTAAGTGTATAAACAAAAAGCTAGCGAAGCTTTACTGCATTATGGTTGAAGTCAGCTAGTGACGAAAACCCTATAGTATTACAACCTAAATATATAACACTAGCCTAACTACTAATATGTGAACTTAACTATTTTCTTTTGCTATAACGAATAATTAAACGTGTAAGCGTTAATCAATCATATCAAAAGTATTATTCCACTGTAATGTTATTACTTTTCATTGTTTTATAACTAAACTAGGCATTGTTTTCTGATTGGCTAATAAGTCAGTCATACAAAGTCGTCAGTATAGTATACTTTTACTAAAATATCCTTTCATCATACAATCTATAACTTAATAACATATTAAGAGTTATTATATTCAATTGTATAAATTTGATGTAAACTATGTGGTAACTTTTAAACTCTTTGATCTATTGAACTTGTTAACGTGTTGAGGAGACTGCATTTATCACTTATGTCATTCTTTTCTTTCTCGATGAAACATAATGATTTATAGTGTTCACAAATTTATTATTATTTATTTAAACACATAAACATTGGTACAAGGAGGCACCAAACAGATATGCGCCACATAAATCATTCGATTTGTGTGAGGGGTCTGATACTACTCGGGTGCCCAGAACAAAGCAGGTGGTTTTCTTAGGGGGCCACACCCCGAACCTTTGACCTAAAGGTCTAATCCACAATGCAGTGGAGCATCGTGAGGAGATGCAATCCCATGGCAGCCGGTGACCAACGATTGGTTCATATGCAATTTGTTCCTCTAGGATCCTGGAGCCCATGTGCACCATTGGTTCGAAGTCAGGGTTTTCTAACTTCCCTAGATGAATCCTCCATATCCACCAACCCGGTTAACGCACCGGACGTTCGCTTTTCGTCCTCTGAATTTCGTAAACAACAGTACTGCGGCGTGAATTCAGTGAGTAGGACTTCCCTGTCAGTGGTTGTATGCACGTGGCCATTTGAAAGCATTTCGAGAGAGAGAGAGCTGATTCTCTCCGCTCTCGGTTTACCAGAGCATTTCTAGTGTACACTAAGTAAACATTAATTATAAAATTGAATTATTATTAATTAATTAAATAAAATTAAGTACTCATGATTTTATTTTCACTTTCATTATTGTTTGTGTTGCATTTATATCTATTGAAATAGTTATTAAATACACACACGTATGTAATCTTCGTAAATTCCAATAAATTCTTGTACAACTATGCTGTTCATTAGGAATGCTAGTGAGTGTATTAGCTATCACTGTTTGTTTATGGTTTTTACTCCTCTAATTTGCCTCATATTAATGTTCATTGCCAAGATAAATGTGACCTTTGCTTAAGCATGTTTTACTTTTTTTAGCATGTGTTTTATTATAATAGCTTTATGGTGTATATTTGTTTGCCTATTGTGTCTATACACAGTTTACAAAATTGATGTTTGACTGTAACTTTTATAATATATTTAATATCTTCTATGTTGTTTATTTGTATTCTCTCATATAGATAATTACTATTATTATTCCAGCTGGATTGGAGTTTTGAAAATGTTTTGTACTTATGATTAATAAACTCCTGACTATTATCTTATAACTTGACTTATTTCTTGAATTTGTAAGTTAATATTCAATACAAAACGATCTCAGTTGTTGTATTAATGTCCCTTGCTTTTTAATGACAGCCCAAATAAAATCGGCCTCTGATGAATACAGATTAAACTAAGCTCCACACGACCTGTTCAACTAAACTGTTTATTAAATATAGAAATATGAACTAACGTTTTCCAGCCCAAAGACAGTACTCCATACCTTACAAATGTCTTTATTTCTACTGTTTGTTATGATGTGAATCATGTGTGTGTATCACTAGTGTTATTTTCATACATTCGGTTCCCTTTGCAAATTTAGATAAGACAAAAACTGCATTAATTACAGTACTCATTTTGTTTCTTTACTTTTTCTTCAGTTGCTAATAAGTTTGACTGTCCTGAATTACTGCGACACATTGGTATTCGAAAAAAAACTAATTGTTAAACAAGAAACGATGTTTTTCGAATGTAAAAACAGTTCAGAGTTATTGATTGAGATCATGAACCGATTAATGTTAGACCACCACCTTTGGAAACCTGGAAGCACTGGACGGCCGTTTCGTCCTATTGTGGGACTCTTTAGCAGTGCGCGTTCACGATTGATGTTAGTCCCACAACAGGACGAAACGGCCGTCCAGTGCTTCCAGGTTTCCAAAGATGGTGGTCTAACATCAATCGGTTCATGATCTCAATCAAAAACTTAATAATCTCCACAACCCCTATACTAGTTCAGATTTAATTTTTTCCAGTCTAAATCATGAACTAATCTCAACTAGATCGACCACCATTGAAAATCTGAAAGCACTAGACTACCGTTTCGTCCTAGTAAAGGAGTCCGGATTTACAACTGCCTCCTTGGAAATCGAACCCAGGGACTTCGGTTACATGTGCTGACGCTAAACCTTTGGATCATTGACTTAGCATCCAACGGCGTTAATGACTACAACTGGTTTACGATATTGTGCAACCTTCATTAATTGTCTGCGGTGGATAACTGTCTCACACTCGACACCGATAAAACTCCACTGGTCTCGGTTTCTCACCAAAGTCCTAGAAGTTGCATCCTGAAGCTAGTCACCAGTGCGCACGTGATTATTATTAATGTAGGGTATTTGTAATACCTCAGCTCTAGTCTGTAACGCACTACTCACGGCTCTTCTTATAACGCTGCTACGGTTATTGCCGATCCAAAGCCCGAAAAATGATAAGGTGTCGGGCATGAGATCAGAAGACAGCATTTAACCACTGTCGAACACTATCAGAAAAGGCCAAGGCACAGACCGAATACACAGAAAAAACAAGAGGGTGAAGAAGAACTGTAGATTCGACAAGTAGAAATGCGTGTAAGGTTTAGCAATGGTAGCGGAAAAAGATGCAAGTGAAGGAAATGTGAAACAAATACATGGTACAACGAATAAACTGGTGGGGAAATATAGTAAACTAAAGCGATTAGTCACGAACACAGAAGGCAAACCGATGACTGGGATTCAAGAACAGAGGAACAGGTGAGAATGGTTTGAATAGCTCTTGAATAAACCAACTCCGCCTAACCCACCAGACGTCGAAGTACCACACACTGATTTCCCTATGAATGTCACTCGATCAGCGACCAAAAAAATCGGCACGGGTATCAGACGTAGCAAGAGTGGGAAAGTATCAGGACTAGATAACACACCAGTTGAAGCACTAAAGTCAGAAATATGAGTAACTGCAAACATGCTCCACATCTTATTGAGAAAGACTTGTGAGGAAGAATAAGTGCCAACAGACTGTAAAGAAGAATACCGAGAAAGTGTGAGGATTACTAAAGCATCACATTAGTGTTGTAGCGGATGAGAACTCTGGTGGGGACAACGAATTTATTGTTTGAAGAAAATTACAGAATTCGTAAAACGTGAAAAACGTACATTAATTACTTCATTTACAAATCTCTTATCAATTGTCTTTCACATTCTGAACGATTTTTCCAAGTCATACACCCTTTCTATCCTCGTTCTGTTTTCCCCAACTCGATTTTTTTAAGCCTTCTGTTGCCATGTTTCCTACTTCCGACTGGCGTCGACACGCATAAGTAGTATAGACTATCACTACCGGGAAAAGTTTTCAACAATGTTGAATCAGATGAAAGGTTACGTAGAATACCATAGATTATTATTGAGCAGTCACTTGAATGTGCTATCCGCTAATAAACTGTAATCGCTGCTTGTTTTTGCCTTCTGAGTTCATACGCCATTGGAATTTACTTAATAACGGTTATCAGGGTGATTGATGAACGTAACCTAAGGATTTATTTCGAAGACAAGCCACTACACTGCAAGGTCCTTAACTACGAGAAAGGATTTTTCTTAGTGGAGAGTAAAACCTTATGGTAACTTTGTCACAATAGACCGCTTTGTTGTAGCTAGACGATTTGGATTTGGCAGATGACCTAGATCTTCTATCGTAAACCAACACATAAAGGTGAAGACAGTCGGTTTAGTAACCGTATGTGCAAAAGTAGTCATCAACATACACAAGAAAAAAGCAAGATCCTGAAATACAACACAGAGCACCAACACAATTACAATTGATGGAGATGCTCTGAAGAGGTGGAGACTTTCAGATATCTGGTCAGCGTCATTTGTAATTTGGAGGACTTGATGCATGTGTGGGTGCAGAGATTGACAAAGAGCAGTATTCCCACAATTGAAGATGTGAACATGTGGAACAACTGTCTGCAAGCCAACATCAAGGTTAGAATTTCGATATAAACTTCAAGACAGTTCTGTTGTACGGAGCTGAAACGTGAAGAACTACTACAACCGTCATCAATAATGTACAGGAATTTAAGAACACGCAAGATACTCAATATCCATTGACTAGATGTCATTAACAACAAGCTGCTGTGGGAGAAAACAAGCTAGCTCTGGCTGTAGAGAAAATACTTTACAGGTTGGTAGGATGAAGATTATGAAAGTCATCAGACCGCATCATGAAACAAGCCCTAATTTGGAATCCTGAAGGGAAATAGAAAAGAGAGACCATGGAATACATTGTGTCGGGAATTTGAGGGAGGCATCACTGATTTTTTGAATATAAAGGGCAGGTTTGGGCTATAATTCACAAATTTGAATGATCTAGAATTAGGCTGTTTTGTTGGTTAGCTTAAATGTACTTATTGCATTCATTCTATGCCCAGTCTTAGTTATCGGACTATGGAACTACGTAGAACATTTGTCCTCGAAACTATGTTTTTTTCAAATATATTGAACAAAGCGTGTAAATGTCCATCGTTTGGACTGATGTAAGCAGGTGGAGATGACATATAGTGGAGACCATTTTGCCGCCGTTCGTGCTATTGAACAACGCGTCGTATGTAGTGCGGACATGTTTGAAGGAAGAAAATACTTGTTAGGCCTATCTTTAATGAGCTTGACGTATGATTTAGTCACATTTGAGTAAAAATTGGATAAATATACTTTTCTTTGCTGTTTTTTTCTTCTGAACCTATATTATACAAGTGTTCAATATTACATTTATATTTTAAAGATGTATTGTTAGCGGGACGTAGTGGATTAAAGCATGCTCAATGCACGATTGCTTTGCTGCACGCTGATTGGCTGATTCTTATCCAATCAGCAACAGCCGATACTTGGAGAGTACTCTAGAATCTTCTCATGTAGAAACTATAAATATACTAACGTTTTCCCTATTGCACTGCTTACTTCCATCTAACCTTGTTATTTGGAATATAATCTCTTTCCTGTTCAACCGTGTTCTGATTTGGGGACTAAGCAATAGGAATAGCTGGGTTGTAACCGTAAGAAAGAGATTATAATATGCATCTATTATCTCAAAGACAATTATTGATTATTGTATACATCTATCTCCAATTGTTGTTGTTTTTATTGTCATTAGTAAATTTTAATTATCATGTTCAACGTTTTTTCCAAATATTGATTTTGTTATTTTTCTCTAGATCTCCACAAATATCATAAACAAGAATTTTGAGCTTAGATCTATGACTTACATAGAGATATATCTTAATGACATATGGAAAACATCTTTTTTTAAAAATAAGTATTACTTGTATTTTTGTTTTTTATTTGTATAATCCATAATGAATTGACTAAATTTTGGTGTTGTTGATCTAAAATAATGTGAGAAATCCTTTTGTAATTTAATTTGCCTTAATTGAGATTTTCATTCACATTGAACCAAACAAACAATTTTGTTCAATAAAATTGAAAGAGGGATAATGATGACTGAATGGAATATATGAAGTACAATCTTTTTTTCCATACTTTGAAGAGTTCAATTCTTATCTTGAATATGAGAGTGAGATGTGTATTGTAAAAACAATCGTATTTGAATGATAACATAATAAACAAATTTATTACTTAACCATAATCTTAAAAAGAAAGGTTTTTCTATTATAAACTTTGTGTTTTACTCAATAGCAGGTTTTTCCGCCAAGGTTTTTAGTTTCATAATTATGACGGTTACTATGGAGATTGTTATGTATATATAATTACTGTTATTGACTGTTAAATGGTTGTTTAGGTTTGATCTTCTGACACCATTCTCTTCTCTGCTCGCATAAAACGCTGATTTTCGTTCCTAGATAGATTGCTGCACACATATACTTCTTGTTCTCACTTATCAGTTGCCGTTATTTGCGTTTGCAGACATTCCCATTACGTGATTATTTACTTTGAATTATATCTATCATATTTGGAACTATTGGCTACTTCTTATAATTGTCGATTACGAGACCAAAACTCGAACACACATCCTACTGACTGCTTAAGTAAAGTCCCGCAATTTTGTATTTGTGTAGATTATCAATTGTCTTGATACTTTTTGCATTATTTTGGAATTCAGCAGTAAGCTCATTGAATTTTTTTATCACCTACCACCTGCTGTAATTTAGACAATTAACCCGCTATGTAAAAGTATGTGTGAGCCTAATTGAGCTCAATCTCTATCTATCCCCCCATTGTTTGTTTACACAGACAATCAACGACTTACCCACAGTTAATTAGCACTCATAAAATACATGGATTTCTCAACCTTTACACTCTTGCTTCCCAATGCACTTGGCTTTTGCGTGCTCGCGAATTTTATTAATTATCATTAATACACTCACTATCCCAACAACTGGTGTTCTGGCTTTTGAATATTCTCGAGTAAATTCCCAGTACTACTAGGAGAATTGGTGCTGTAAGTTCTTTACTGTGCAGCTGATCGTCCCTTTCCCAGCATACATGCCCTAGCACAGTACAATTTACAGTCACTAATCTTTGGGGATTTGATCTTGAACGAATTGCTACGACAGAGAAGTCCAGTCAATACAAAATAACAATTGTTTATGAAGGGGTCATTTGCATGTAAGGTAAAAGAAAATATATAAATCAGCTCGCCGAACTGTGTTGATAATTTTATTGAAGACTTTAGGTATTAATTCAATCCAAGACCTTCGTTTGATACCTCTCGAGCTATTTTTGTCTATGTAGGGTTCCACCTTATAACTATGGATTCTAGTTTACCATGATTTTGAAGATAACTAGGTATTATGTGCTTACTGAGGAAGAAAACAATATTCAATAAAATGGGAAATATATTTGTTTTAAATCGTTAATTACAAAATACATCAATTAATTTACAAAAAAGTGCTAGGCATCTGCGAACTGGTCCGGTTCACCGAATCTTCCATTATCTACAATTTGTTTTGAAAAACGAGCGGTGGAAATTTTTAATCATTGAAAATAACGAACAAATAAATGTCGTCGACTATAGTTCATGATGAGATTCACCAATATTTAATTTATTTATAAAATACAAATGTATGTACTAGGATTTGATTTACTATCCAGTTCCCTAAGTCAAGGCAGGCGGAAACCTGTGACCAACTGCTTGAAAAATTGAATTAACCACTAAGCCATTGTTCCTAGTAGCGTATATTTGAAATAATGTTATTATTGTTATGGAACCGAATTATTGGGAACATAATTATACCCTTAAAAAGTCAAAACTATCTGAAATGAGGGCTGCGTTATATATTATTTTATTGAATTTGTTTCGATATGAGATATTGGGGACATCCATCATACAGCTAAGTCGCACCTAGACAACTGCACTTTAGTCTGAATAAAGTCAGAAAACAGTTTTGGCTTCATAGGATGTAGGATTATATATTATAAAACTGTATCAAACAATAACTGACGCTAAAAACTTTTATTTAGAGGAATGTGCATTACTGAGGAGTCCCACAATAGGACGAAATGGCCGTCCAGTGCTTCCAGGTTTTCACTGGTGATCTAACACCAATCGGTTCATGATCTCAATCAAAAACAAATAATCAATCAGAAAAATGATCAGTTTAACATAGCTAAACAGTCACCGATAAAACTAACTTTGAATTAACTATTGAAGTGTTAAAGAGGAAATTGTGCGATAAAATAATATGGTTATGCAACGTATAACTTACGAACACCTTCACAATTATCATGAATCATATGAATGAGATTCGATGAAGATTTGTCTAATTATTTGTTATGCTATTAAAACTCATTATTTCAAAAGAGCATGACTCAAATAGCCAATGAGTATCAAAGGAAGTAATCACTAGTTATTAGAAGACAGCACATGGGTATACATGTAAGGTTGTTGGTAAGCCGGGATAAATAGGCGAGTTCACGATTTTTTAAAGTCAGGATATCATTTTATGACATTAGTTTTATATTTTGTAGTGTAACATTATTTTAGATCAATATGTTTGTAACAACGAAGTGTAAATTTCGAACAGTATGATAGGTGTGGACTTCTAGAAAGAGGATGAGATGTAAAAACCTTGAACAGTAATAAGAAATATTTTTAACAGTTGAATTCACGAGTCGATCTGAGCTAGACCAACATTGAAAACCTGGAGGCACTGGACAAGGAGTTCCATACTGGGACGAAACGGTTGTTCAGTGTTTTCAGGTCTTCGATGGTGATCCAGCGTAGATCGACTCGTGAATTGAACTGTTAAACATAATAAAATCTCTACAAATCCCCCTACTGTCAAAGGTATGTAGCAAGAAATTAAACCGAACTATGCACTTAAGATTACTTCTCACAATAGTTTCACGTTGCCTTAGTGGTTATTTAACTCGTTTGGAAAAGATGATAAACTTATCACAGAAATTCGTTCAACTATTTAGTAATATAACTCACTATTCGTATGGTTTTCGAATTCCATACCCTGATCATTAATTTCATATTCATCATCTTCTGCGAAACCCTCGAAGTCTGAATTATCATCTTCAGGATCCGGATTTAATGCTTGACAGTCGGCTAGTGCTTTATACATGTCTTCGAGCTGTGCAGAATCTTGTGGAACCAAGCGGAGGACGGACGTAGAACCAGGGCAGTCTGGAGCGCGGTCACTATCAGAGTCTTCTTTTTCTTCATCTGAACCTTCTGCATCAATTTGCATGCCATCTTGCTCGTTCCGTGACTTCGTATCAGATAAATTATCAGTATTATTTGAATCCCATACACGATCTCCGTCGATCATTACTAATAAATGTGGGTGAGGAAACAAATTATTGGGATGATCTCCAGTCTGGTCTACCGTATTCCTGGCAATAGCATGTAAGGTTATTTGTGCATAAGGAATAAAGAATTGTTTTGATGTACCTTCCCATGTAAAACATCTACAAGTATAAAGGAATCAATATTACTTCTATTTTCAAGAACTTTTAAATAGTTATGAATATTCAATTTAGATTAGAGGTGGAGTGAAAAGTGACAATTAATGTGTAATTTTAGTCAATAGTAAAAATATAACAAGATCGATAAATATTTGTGCGCCAGGTTGCATCTTACTTATTTCTGTCGTTTTAGTCAGTCAGCTACAACGTAGGACTACGCACATATGTACAATGATCCAAGTTGCCACACCTCATTAGCACAACAAAATGAACACCGGATTCATAGAAGTAGTTGATTCAGTGGTGGTAATATATAAAAGAAAGATTGCATATAAGGATATAATAATACAGGAAGAAAGAATTAGTTCGTAGAAAGAAAGATATGAAGCAATTTTAATCTCATAGTTTGAGGGAAGACAAAGACTGTATACACCTATGCCATTGTGATAGATTCTGAGCCATGTCACACAGTATTTTATTTTATTTCAACACATAAATATTGTATACACATAGTTCCCTTTATTATCTTAAATAGAGCAAGAACAAAGATTGGTGCAGAATAATATGAATTCATTTTATTTCGTTAGGTTCTCATCAGCTGCTTACAACCCCGAAAAGTTTCTCTATAATCTATCAACAATGAAGTTAAATCAGATAGAAACAGAAGCCTTGTCACTTGGATTTAAATTTCATATCCCCAAAACACATGCCGACAGAATCGACACAGAAACTCAATTTGAGAATTTATTTGATCAAATTAAAGAGTTGCAACCAGTTAGTGAAGAAAAGAAAGGCTGGTTTAAATCTAAACTAGTCGATATTGTAAACCAATATCTTGTTTCACCCGCACCACAGTCTAAGCTTTTATCCAAAGACCACCAAACAGCATTACGAAATATTAGACGAAATGACGATATAATGATATTACGGTCAGACAAAGGCTCAAGTTTTGTTCTAATGAACAAAACAGATTATGTTTTTAAGATGAAGTCTATCTTGAATGACCATGTGAGATTCAAGTTAGAGAAAAGTAACAAAGACTTAACTGATTCCATTGAGAAAAGAATCACCAAAGTACTCAGAGATCTTCTGAAAAAGAAGATGATCGATAACTCTACTTACAATAATCTACGACCTCGTGGGTCTCGTTTGCCCCACATGTATGGATTACCGAAAATACATAAACAAGGTTATCCTCTTAGACCTATTTTGTCAATGATCAATTCACCATACCACAAAGTTGCACGATGGTTGGCAGATAATTTAGAACCAGTGCGTCAACGATTAGCCTATACACTAAAGGATTCATTTGTATTTGCTGACAGCATGAATCACATAAATATTGCCGGTAAGTTTATGGTTTCTTTTGATGTAACATCTTTGTTTACAAAAATACCACTTCTTGAGACCATAGACATAATTTGTCAACATTCTGACATCCTACCTCTACCAGTACCAGAATTCAAACGACTATTACTCATTTGTACAAAAGATGTTCAGTTCCAGTTCAACGATATCATATACAAACAAATCGATGGTGTAGCGATGGGAAGTCCGTTAGGTCCTGTCCTAGCAGATATTTTCATGGCTAACCTCGAAAGAACCAAACTCAAACGAGCGATTGATGAAATGACGTATTATTCGAGATATGTTGATGGTACCTTCATCGTATGTAATAATAAACAACATGCAATAAATCTGCTAGAGTTTTTCAATGAAGCACATCCGAATATCCATTTCACTATGGAACATGAAAAAGAAAACAAGTTCCATTTTCTCGATATCGCGATGAAAAGAAGAAAAGATGGTACAGTTTAACGTTCAGTTTATAAGAAAGACACATGGAATGGTAGTTATCTTAATTTCAATAGCTTTTGTCCAATCAGTTACAAAAAGGCACTGGTCAAAACACTGTTTTACAGAACAGAAAGAATATGTACTTCCGATACACTAGAAGAGGAAGTTATGAATGTTAAAAAATGTTTAAAGAGTAACGGATACCCACTGAAATTTATTGAGAAATACGGCAAATGTGAAGTTAAAAAGCCGAAAGAAATTACAGCAAATAAAAAGCCTATTTTTATTAAACTTCAATTCAAAGGTGACGATGTCACAGGATCAATCAATATGAGACTAAAAACTGCACTGACAAGAACTTATCCTGCAGCGAAATTGATTGTCCTGTCCAAAACAACATGCTCTTTGACACAATCAAAGGTCGATAGGTATCCCTTTCATGTTACCACCAACTGTGTATACAAATTTACATGTACCTGCCAAAGCAGTTAGATTGGTAGAACAGAAAGGAGAGCCTACGTCCGATTCAAAGAACATATTCCGAAAAGTTTAAGGTTAAATGGATTGAACGCATTCAACAGTGCTATCGCCAGACATCTCCTTGATACAGGACATAAAGCTGATATACTGAAGTCCTTCAAGGTGATTAACAAACAATCAAACTCGAACCTTTTGAAATTCGCTGGAGCGTTAGCAATCAAACGTTTAAAACCAGATCTATGTATACAAAAAGAGACAGTAATAAATCTTTCTTTACCCTGGTAACAATAACCCCCACTCTTTCTATTAATTTGCTCCTATTTATTTATTTATTACGTCATTATTGCAACCCTTTCTGGAATATAAATTACATCATACATAACTCATTGATTTCAATTCATATTTTCTTTATTACCATTAATCTATTTTCATGAGTTCTAGTCACTATTTCAATGTTCTGGAACTTTCCCTCTCTAACTTTATTTATTTATTCGAATCAAACATTTTATGAGCTCATTAACTCTATCTGAATATTCGCTACATCATCATACACATGTATTGATCCTTAATCACACTCTTATATATAAATATGTCAATATCTGTATTAATATTAATGTTGAATTTTAAATAATTTAGGTTGTAAGCAGCTGATGAGAACCTAACGAAATAAAATGAATTCATATTATTCTGCACCAATCTTTGTTCTTGCTCTATTTAACATAAATATTGGTACAAGGGGGCACCAAATATATATGCGCCACACCATATTTGTGTGTGTCTAGGCTGTGATACTGCCCGGGTGCCCAGACTAGAGCAGGTGGTTATCTTAGGGGGCCACACCCCGAGCCTTTGACCTAAAGGTCTAACCCACAAGGCAGTGGAGCATCGTAAGGAGATGCAGTCTCATGGTAGCCGGTGACCAACGATTGGTTCATACGCCATTTGTTCCCGCAGGATACTGGAGCCCATGTGCACCATTGGTTTGGAATCCGGTTAAAGCGCCAGACATTCGCTTTTCGCCCTCTCGTTTTCGTAAACAACACCCCCGCCACGAGAGCGCAGTGAGTATGTCTTCCCTGTCATAGGCTGTATACGCGTGGCCGTGTGAGAGCATTTCGAGAGGGAGGGCGGGCCCATCCCACTTTCGGCCATACCAGGGCATTTCTTGTCATACAGAGTCTCCAACCATTGGTTACGATAGTCACGTGGACCCCAACCGAGTAGTCTGCATCTACCAACATAGATTAGACCAGAAGTTAGTGATTTTATGGACTGATGCCACGTTTTGGTTTGAACGCCCTTAACTTTCTTCCTACTTTCTCCAACAATAGTCAGGATTGCGCACAGTGCTAATAGGTGGTCTAGACGTATATTATTTCTTTGGAATCCGTACACAGGGCCCAAGGGTAATTATCCAGTTAGCTTTGCCTAACTATTGGTGAGAACTAACATGAGTTTTTTGGAGACTTGTCAGCAACTTATTGCGATTTTATTGTCTTTAAGATAAGTGACCTGGATGAGGGAAAGTGAAATGTAAGGAAATACACAGTACATATAAAAATACAACATATGTGATTTCTCGATTATTTAGTTTAATTCTTTTTACACGAGAAAAACTGATTTTTCACCAACTATTGGAAAGTAAACTCAGTATTTTAATAATCCAGTATGAGTGATAAGCCTAACGGTATCATTATATTACATGTAAATTTTTAATATAACCTATCTCCATAACTTACTCCTCAGATATTTTTAAGGTTCCAGTGTCTATTAGAGAAGAATCCTCATAAAGTGAAATATTAGATTGCAGAAAGTGTACATCGGAATATTCGCCGTCAGCGACCATTTGTGCAAAGTCCAGGATATAACTAAGTTAAACGAGCTTGAATAAGAAAGGTTTGTAATCGCTAACTAGATTGGAGATTCTGAAAATTTAAAATGGATAGGATAAAAATAATGAAAATACTTCAAAATTCAGGTAAAACGAAATAGAAATCTTAATTGGCCTTATCAATAAACTGTTTCACAACATCCATTGAATGTTACAAGCATAGTTTCACCAGTTGAAACACGATCGAGGATCTGGTTTACATAAGCTTGCGAACATAAATTTTTAATAGCGTGAAAATGCTGACTCCGAGTCTTTCCGATATTCCTGTTACGTGGTTCAAATACACTACATATTTTAAGAACTTTTTAGATAATTTCATGTCCCGCTAAAATCTTGTTACAATTCACTGAGTACATGTATAAAAAAAGACGTAAAATTTTATGGAGCAACATCAGTGAGTTTTCCCGATGTATAATAGGCTTACGACTAATTTTTTACTCTTTGCGCCTTGCGATCATTAATTAGTAGGTTATGTCCTTTTCTGGTTACTTGTCAGATTACTAATATGGATCCCTGGTAGATAGATTATGTAATAATCTATTGATCCTTCAGAGCACTTCAACAACGAATCGTAAATTTATTTATTTATTTGAACACATAAATATTGGTACAAGAGGGCACCAAATATATATGCGCCACACAAAACAATGAGAATTTAAAAACAAGGAGGAAAAAAAAGTAAGGAGCGTGAAGGAAAAGGGGAACAATAACGAACAGATTGGTGTAAGGTAGTGCAATAATAATAATAGTAATAATGGGGGAACGGAAAGGTACAATCAGAAGAAATCTTTCAGTTAAGGAAGAAGCAACCACTTTTTACGAAGAAAGTAAAAGAAGGTTACAGCAGGATCGCCACTAGCTTCTGTTCTGAGCCATATCTGATAATGTCTCTAGCCACTGTGTGGCACCATCTCTCGGACCCCAGCCAGGGAGTCGTGAAGGACCGACAGAAGCCAGTCCTTTGCAGCTTTCTTTCATACCACGACACCATGTCATACATTGACCACCTCTCCGCTTTTTCCAACCAGTCCCAGAGTCGGCAAATAATGCACGACGTGGAATTCTCTGGGACGACATTCGTAGAACATGTCCAAGCCACCGAAGTCGGTGTTTCAAGATGGTGACACCAATTGAATTATCATCTCTGTGCCCGAACACACGATGCCGAACCTCTGCATTACTGACATGGTGTTGCCACTGAATGTCAGCAATCCTTCGGAGACAACGATGATCGAACACAGAGAGTCGTCTAACGTCCTCAACTCGGAGAGGCCAGGTTTCACAAGCATAGAGCAAAACTGCTCTCACCGACGCGTTGTAGATCCGACCTTTTACAGCCAGACTAACATCACGGAGTCAAAGATAGCCCAGGTTGGCATAAGCCGCCCTGGTTTTCATTAAATGGGCATTGGTCTCATCACTCGCCCCCACCAGTACTTATGCAGCTACCCAGATACACGAACTTCTCGACTACTTCTATCTGCTCACCATCTAGAGTGAGTACAGGATTAGAATCCCACCAGTCTTATAGAAGTACTTTGCACTTCAAAGGTGCAAAACACGTACCATACCTACGGACACTGATAGCCAACTGATTAAGTGCGGATTGCATGCCTTGGGCATTATCGCACAGTAAGACAATATCATCCGCATACTCAAGGTCGAGAAGTCTTTCTCCAGGCAACAGATCCACATCGCCATTACTTACATCCATCAGAGCTGTTTCCAGAATGTCGTCGATGGCAAAGTTGGAGAGGAATGGTGGGATTGGGCAACCCTGCCGAACCCCACTGCTCGAATGGAACAATGGAGAGAGGTGGTTGTATGCCCTCACTCTGCCTGAGGTGTTTTTATACAGGGCTTTTAGGATGTTAATAAACTTCTCAGGCACACCCTTCTTCAATAGACAATCCCAGAGAACAGCCCTGTCCAACGAATCGAAGGCAGCCCTGATGTCAAAAAACACTACGATTGTTGGCCTTTGATAAGTATGGCGGTGTTCTAACATTTGGCGGAGGGTGAAGATATGATCAATACATCCCCGACCAGAACGAAACCCAGCCTGCTCCTCGCGAGTCAATCATTCTCAGGTTTTGAACAACCTACGAAGTATGACGGAAGCCAATAGCTTGGACGCAATCGGAAGTAGACTTACCCTCGACAGTTGTTACAGGAACGACGTGAACCCTTTTTAAGGATAGGGACAACTATCGACTCATTCCATGACGTTGGTACACTCTCTAGTTCCCAAACCTTTGTAAATAACGTCGTCAATTCCTTAGTCAAAAAGTCACCACCATCTTTAAAAAGAGCCGGAGGTAAGTCATCTGGACCAGGTGATTTGTAACGCTTTAAGAGTTGGAGTTCCTTGCGGACTTCCTCCTCGTTTGGTGGATCAGTCGTCACCGGCCATGGAGGGCAGGACAGTCTGACCGATGTTGCCGGAGCAGCAGGCCAGTTGAACTGCCCTTCGAAAAATTCTGCCCATCGTCCAAGACGTTGATGGATGTTAGTGATTGGCATCCTATCATCCTCGCAGATTGTTTCACTCACACCAGACTTCTTGCTGCCAGTGGCTCGGATGAGTTGGAAGAGCTTGGGGTAGTTACCAGATGCAGCAGCTGCTTCCAGCTCATTAGCACGCTTCGACCACCAGGCTTCTCGGTCCTTACGCAAGCTTTGCCCAATTTCCTTACGTAACATCCTTCGTTTATGGTCAAACTCACGGTCACCCGGAGTAGACCGACGGGCTTCAATGAGTTGTAAGGAACCTGCAGAAACCCAGTGCTTATAAGCGGGACGTTTCGCAAACCCACAACTGACTGTTCCCGCCATTTTCATGGCGTCATGCAATTGCAACCAATGCTCATCTATACTTTTCGGTGGAGTGGTAGCTAGCCTAGAGGCTAGCTCGGTTCGATACTTATTTGCAACAGAAGTTGCAACCAGCTTGCTAATATCAATACTTTGCTGGCGGTCACTTCGTTGTCCACTGAAAAGTAAGGCAAGATTGGCGCAGACCAAGGCGTGGTCAGAGTCCAGATAGGTACTCCAAAAGGAGCGGCAGTCTTTTACACAACCACGCCAGCGGTAGCTGATCGCGATGTGATCAATCTGAGTCCAGGCTTGAGATGCAGAGGGAGGACGCCAGGTGGCACATCGGCGATGACTGTGCTGAAAGTTAGTGCTAGCCAGAAACAGGTTGTGGTATGTGCACAGTTGCAGTAGACGGTCCCCGTTATCTGACCTGCGACCAACGAGTCCCCATCGGCCACCTAAACGACTCTCTTCTGTGCCTAGACGCCCGACCTGAGCATTCAAGTCTCCGGCTAGTAATACAATATCTGTCGAACGCACTTTCTGGAGGACAGATAACTGGTGGTAAAACTCATCCTTGATTGCATCCGGGCTGCAATCTGTCGGGGGATAGGCGGAGATGACGAAAAGACATCGTTTCTCACGCCGATTTCTCACTTTTATGGAACTTTCTAATCTAACAGAGCATAACCGACTGTTAATGGGGATCCAATTGATTAGTGCTGCTTCAGCTTTAGCGCTCAGTGCGACACCAACGCCAGCAACACCAGACGAAGATGCCACAGGGTCCCCGGATAAACGCACGTGAAACAAGCTTTTTGAAGCGACAGATGGAGATCGAATTTGTAGTACTTCACCAGAGTCTTGAATACGGGTCTTGGATAGACAACACACGTCGATATTAAGACTTTCCAAAGACATAGCCAGACCTATCTGTTATCCGACCTGCATAAATGTGCGAACGTTGAAGGCAGCCAGTTTGAATGGTGCACGTAGTTTTAGAAAAACTGCCCCAGTACTCATATTCGGTGGTAACATACAATTTTCAACCGGACAGTGACTCGAGAACGTTTAGATAGAACCGAATTTCCACCAAAGACGAGCTGCTGTATAAGTCGAAAAAATAAGTATAAACAGAGTGGGAATAAAAGAGGGTGAATAATGTCGTAGTAAATAATAATAATAATAATAATAATAATAATAATAATAATAATAATAATAATAATGCGAGACACGTGATTGTTATTTGCAGGGAGAGGAATATTTTTCGCAAGTAGACAGTTTATCATGTTTTTGTGTGCGGGCTGAGATAGTGCCCGGGTGCCCAGATCGAAGCAGGTGGTTATCTTAGGGGGACACACCCCGAGCCTTTGACCTAAAGGTCTAACCCGCAAGGCAGTGGAGCATCGTAAGGAGATACAGTCCCATGGTAGCCGGTGACCAACGATTGGTTCATACGCCATTTGTTCCCGCAGGATACTGGATCCCATGTGCACCATTGGCTTGTAATCAGGGTATTCCAACTCCCCTAGGTGGACTCCCTATGCCCACCAACCCGGTTAAAGCGCCGGACATTCGCTTTTCGTCCTCTCAATTTCGTAAACGACACCCCCGCCACGAGAAGGCAGTGAGTAGGACTTCCCTGACAGAGGCTGTATACGCATGGTCGTGTGGGAGTATTTCGAGGAGGAGGGCGAACCCACCCCGCTCTCGGTCATACCAGGGCATTTGGGGGCGATTGGCTTCAAGTTAGCTGTTTAACTAACACTACCCCAATAGCCGCTAAGGAGGTCTCCAATAAACAAGTAATTATGTCTAAGAACAGTAAAATAACTTTATTTCAGCCTGATAATGTTGTAGTAGTAAACGGACAGCCTGGTTTAGTCACTGATATAGGGGAGGATGGACTACTAAAATCTAGGTCTTTCACTGACCCACGCAATTACATCGAAGATCCTTTCCCATCCAGTGATATAGGAATATTTATGTGCTCCGTAGTTAGCCATGAACACACATGGGTACGGTTAAGGACATTGACTGTAAATGTATAGCCATTAATTGTATCAATTATTTAGTTATAGTTCGATTGTTGCATACTTTTATGTGAATGTATGTTGTTTCATTTGTGCTTAATTCATGATCATAAACCATTTCATTACCTCTTATGTTATGTTTAGTCCGCTAACAAACAATACATCATTGTTGACGTTCCTAGCA